CCCCGCCCACCGCCGGCGCGCGCCGGGTGCCGAGCCCCTGTGCATTGGGGGGTCCTGGCGCGGGAAACTGAGGCCCTTTTGCAACCTGCCTGCCCGGCCCCGGGGCTCGCGGGCAGCCTGCGGTGCCCCTGCCAGCCTGCTTCCCACCTCCTGCCTGCTGGCATCTGGGGTGTGTGGGTCATGCTGGCTTTCCCAGCGTGGTGACATAGACACCGATCGTTTGTGTTGCTTTAATTCTTTGTTTGTTTGTTTCCTTTTTTTGAGGCCACCGGCTCATGTAGGTGGTTCAGTGTGCAGCCCAGGCTGGCCTTGAATTCGTAACGCCCATGCCTCCGCCTCCCCAGAGCTGGGATGACGAGCGTGTGCTCCCTGGAGAGGAGTCTGGGCTTTGCCTGGTTGCTGTCCGTGGGAGCTTCCTGTGCGTTGTAGTGTGGTCAGCCGGAGCTCCAGTCTGTGCCCACTAGTTAGGGTGGAACTGCCCTGTGTGCGCGCACAATGACAGCCCCAGTTCCTTGAGGCGCTCCAGCAATCCACTAGTTCAAAGGCAATACCGAGCCAGACACTCTGGGACTGTGGACCTCTCACACACACACACCACCAGCACCACGCTGGACTTGATTTCCTAATTCTCCTACCTCCCAAGTGCTGGGATTACAGGGGTGCACCACCACAATGGGCTTCTACAGGCTATTCTCTGTGCTTACTCAAAGACCCTTTATCTCTAACCCATCTCTGCCTAGCTCTTGCTGGAAAGATACAGGATAACCAGGGTCCTCCTGTCGGTTGCCTGGGGACAGACAGCTTCACACTGCCATAGTCAGCAGCATAAAAGGAGTCCCCCGCCGGGCGGTGGTGGCGCACGCCTTTAATCCCAGCACTCGGGAGGCAGAGGCAGGCGGATCTCTGTGAGTTCGAGGCCAGCCTGGACTACCAAGTGAGTTCCAGGAAAGGCGCAAAGCTACACAGAGAAACCCTGTCTCGAAAAACCAAAAAAAAAAAAAAAAAAACCAGCCTGGACTACCAAGTGAGTTCCAGGAAAGGCGCAAAGCTACACAGAGAAACCCTGTCTCGAAAAACCAAAAAAAAAAAAAAAAAAGGAGTTCCCCTAGACCAAGACCAGTGGTTCTCAACCTTCCTAATGCTGCGACCCTTTAATACCGTTCCTCACATTGTGGTTACCCCAACCAAAAAATATTTCATTGCTGCTTCATAACTGGATGTCAACAATGTAAAAGATTACAAATAGATCCATATTAGTCACCATGCACAAAACTCAAGTCCAAGTAGACCAAAGACCTCAACATAAATTCAGTCACACTGAATTTGATAGAAGAGAAAGTAGGAAGTAGTCTGGAACCCATGGGCACAGGAGATCACTTCCTAAATATAACACCAGTAGCACAGACACTGAGAGAAACAATTAATAAATGGGACCTCCTGAAACTGAGAAGCTTTTGTAGCAAAGGACATAGTCAATAAGACAAAAAGACAGCCTACAGAATGAGAAAAGACTTCACCAACTCCACATCTGACAGGCTGATCTCCAAAGTATATAAAGAACTCAAGAAACTAGACATCAAAATACTGAACAGTCCAACTAAAAAATGGGCTATAGAGGGCTGGAGAGATGGCTCAGTGGTTAAGAGCACTGGCTGCTCTTCCAGAGGTCCTGAGTTCCATTCCCAGAAACCACATGGTGGCTCACAACCATCTGCAATGAGAACTGGCGCCCTCTTCTGGCATGCAGGCAGAACACTGCATACAAAATAAATCTTAAAAAAAAAATGGGCTATAGAACTAAACAGAATTCTCAAAAGAAGAATCTCAAATGACTGAAAGACATTTAAGGAATTGATCAACATCCTTAGTCATCAGAGAAATGCAAATCAAAATGACTCTGAGATACCACCTTACACCTGTCATAATGGCTATGATCAAAAACACTAATGACTGTCTATGTTGGAGAGGATGTGGAGCAAGGGGAACACTCCTCCACTGTTGGTGGGAGTGCAACCACTGTGGAAATCAATATGGCAGTTTCGTAGAAAATTAGGAATTGATCTACCTCAAGACCCAGCCATACCACAAAGATACATGCTCAACTATGTTCATAGCAACATTATTTGTAATAGCCAGAACCTGGAAACAACCTAGATGCCTGTCAACTGAAGAATGGATAAAGAAAATATGGTACATGTACACAATGGAGTACTACTCAGCAGAGAAAAACAATGGCATCATGAAATTTGCAGGCAAATGAATGGAACTAGAAAATATCGTCCTGAGTGAGGTAACCCAGACTCAGAAGGACAAACATGGAATGTACTCACTCATAAGTGGATACTAGATATAAAGCAAAGAACAATCAGACTGCAACCCACAGATCCAGAGAGGCTACCTAACAGGGGGGACCCTAGGATGATTGTGGTTTATAGTAAGTTTTGGGTTTACCCAATCACTGGGCAAGCTTTAATGAAACATTTCACTATTAGGATAAGAATTTGCACTGTATCAAGCTGATGAAAGAAAACGCTGGCCGTACTTTCAGGAGGGGAGGCTAAAATCTTTTCAGATTATGGATTAGCCTATAGAAAAATATCTGCCATAAATCAAACAGTGAAGGGGAAGATGAATAGGAATCTCATTTCCACAACTTACGTAAAACAGCTCTCTGAACAGATGAAGATAGGTTTCTTCTGTATCCCAGAATCTAATCAATATTTATATGTATAATTCAGCTATTATTTGGCTTAAAAGGGCTTATTGGGAAATGTTATTATTTATATTATTTTGTACAGAGAAAATATTTTACTGTTTAAAATAGCCCTGAAGTTTTAAATTATAACCTGTTTTTATGTGCAGACTGAGTATTATTTCTCCTGGAGTTGTACATAAAATGTTTTTACATTTAAAAAAAGGACAAAAAAATTACATTGCTACTGCATGACTGTAATTTTGCTACTGTTATGAAATGCAATGTAAATATCTGACATTCAGGATATCTGGTATGTGACACCTCCCCCCTTGGGGGTTGCCGCCCATAAATTGAGAATCACTGCCCTAGACTTTTAGGGACTCGAATTAGGACAAACTGGGGATGTGCCTTGGAGTCTGTAAGGAATTTCACAACTATAGACAGTATAGGAAACAGGTTTGGTGACTTTTGTTTGTTTGTTTGTTTGTTTGTTTTTCAAGACAGGGTTTCTCTGTGAAACAGTCCTGGAATTCACTCTGTAGTGAAGGCTGGCCTTGAACTCAGAGCTCTTTCTTTCTGCCTCTGCCTCTGCCTCCCCGAGTGCTGGGATTAAAGGCATGTGCTGCCACTGTCTGGTGGATTTGGTGACTTTTTTTTTTTTTAATGCCGAATGCTTTTTCTTTTCTTTTTTTCTTTTTATTTTAATGCCGAAGGATTTGGTGACTTTTAAAAAGTTACTTTAATATAGGTTTAAGCACAGGGTTTAAGCCGGGTGGTGGTGGCACACGCCTTTAATCCCGGGGTCTCTATGAATTCAAGGCCAGCATGGTCTACAGAGCAAGTTCCAGGACAGCCAGGGCTATGCAGAGAAACCCTGTCTTGAAAAACAAAAGAAGGAATGAATCTCAGATGAAAGACACATCCAGCGTAGATATGAGCTTCCCAGGGGAGAGTGGAGGGAAATAAGAGGCCCTCAGTGTAGGTACAGGCTCGTAGGGGGAGCAATTGTCTTAGCATTAGCCACAAGGCCGTTTTGTTGACTCTCAGTTACATCTCCAGAGGCTGCTGAGAAATCACTCTCTCAGTCCCGGGGTAAGAGGAACGGATTCTTTAAGATTTGTCTGTTTGCTTGTTTTTTAAATCTATTTTTATGTTCTCTGTGTGAGAGAGTGCCTACATATATGTCTGGGTGCCACATGTGTGCCTGGTGTCTGAGGAAGCCAAAAGACAGTGCCAGATCCCCTGGAGCTGGAGTGACGGACAGCCGTGATCTCCTGGGTGTGGTCACAAGAAACTGAAGCCCCATCCTCAGGAAAACCAGCAATTGCTCTCCACTGCCAGGCAATCTCTCCGGCCCTGCGTTAGCAGTCTGAACTAAAAGAACATCATGCAGGGGGCGGTGAAGTGACTTGGCCTGTGCAGAGCTCGCCGCCCAGTCTGATGACTGAGTTCAAGTCACATCCATAACAGTGGGGGGGGGGAGAGACGGGACAGGACACGACACGACACGACTCCAACTGTCCTCTGACCTGTGTCCATGCCCGCGTGGCATACACACGCATGTGCACTTATACAAAATAAGTAGATAAGTGTAATTTCATTTTATTTACTTAGAGTGTGTGTGTGCACACATATGCCATGATATGGCAGTCAGAAAACCACTTTTATTAATCAGTTCTTGCCTTTTATTACCTCAGGGATTAAACTCAGGTTTTTGTTGTTGTGGTTGTTTGTTTTGTTTTGTTTGAGACAGGGTTTCTCCGTGTAGTTTGGGTGCTTGTCGTGGATTTCTCTCTGTAGACCAGGATGGCCTTGAACTCACAGAGATCCGCCTGGCTCTGCCTCCCGAGTGCTGAAATTAAAGGCGTGCGCCACCACCGCCCAGCCGAACTCAGGTTTTCAGACTTAATGACAAGCACCTTTACCCACTGAGCCATCTG